TAGTAGAATGTTTAGGCTATATTTGTTAAAAATGTGAGATAAAAGTTAAAAAGAGTTCTTCTATCTCTCATGTAATTTTTAATTTTTACTTAATTCACTAAATTTTATTATTAGAATATATATGAATTAAAATTAAATATTTTGCTATTCTAAAATATTAAACAACTAATCTTATAGATTATAAAGAAAATTTTATTAAATTTTTTTGTACAAATATTTAACTGTTATAGTCTTCCATAGTCAATAGTAAGTTCTTACAATATATTTTTTTTATGTTTTTTGGTATTAAAAATAATATTTAAAAAAATACAATAAAAATTAATAAAATAAAAATTAAGTGATCTAATGAATTTGAATTTTAATAAATTTGCATGAACCAAGTGGTCCAGTGATAAAGGAATTGTTGTAATTCCTGAGGATTCGGTTTTGAGCACCATATATATGCTAGGGGTATGAGCATTCAATGGTGAAAGATTGAGAGTTATCTTTGAATATATATTGCCTTGTGTTGAAAACATTTTGATATTTCGATATAACAAATTAAGTTAAATGAATTTTAAGATTTTCCAAATGATTTTCTAAGTATATTCAATAGAATTATTCGAAAATCAAAACATTACTCCAAATCTTTCAAAGATCATTTTTAATCCTTACTCAAAGTGTAAAATTAAGTTTTAATCTTAAAACAATTTCAAAATAATTTTACAAAATATTTCGAACCATTTCAAAGCCAAAAATTCCAGATTGCTCAGAGGGAACCGATTCCCCCCTAAGGGGGTATCGATTCCCCCATGAATGGTTTGGCTCCGAGAATTCCAGTATGTTCGGAGGGAACCGATTCCCCCTTGTATAACGGTCGAAATATTTGAATTTTACACTTAGGGAACCAATTCCCCATAGGAGGTACCGATTCCCCCCACGCTACAAGCTGTTTTATTAATTGTTTTCACACTAAAACGGCTATATGATCTTCACTAATCATCCCCAACGTTCAAAAGTGATTCAAGGTGTATTTAAACAAGTTCTGAAGCCCTTGATCAACAAGAAATTATAGAGAAACAAGAGAGAAAGCATCAAACACCAAGTTTGTGCAAATCAAGCCAATTTTCCTTTCAATATTCATTTTGCTTTCAAAGAACACCATTTGTGCTCATTTGTAATTATTTGTGAGTGTTCTTTTCTTGTTCTAGAATTGTGCAAACATCTTACCTTGAGAGGTTTTCCTTGTAAGTTTGCAAATTTGTAATCTTCTCTTTGGGAAAGAGTGTTCTCAAGAATTGTGGTATATTCTTTAGGGTGTTGTAAGGTTATCTCTTTGGCCTCAAAAGAAAGAACAAATTAGTGAATTTGTTGGAAAATCCTTAGTGTGGATAGCTAAGGTAGTGGACGTAGACTTTAATTGAGAAAGTCGAACCACTCTAAATCGCTGTGCAATTACTTTCAATTTTCTGCAAAAGCTTCCACCAAATTTTTAATTGCCAATTCACCCCCTCTTGGCCAATTCCGTCAATCGATTAACTCAACAATTGGTATCAGAGCCTAACTCATTTGAAGGTTTAATCGCCTCTTGAGTCGATCCGGGAAGAGTTAAATCGATAAAGATGGCGTCCACTTTCGGTTCATTCTCCATGGAAGAATCCAGACCAATTGACGTGCCTCCACACTTCAATGGAACAAATTATCGTCATTGGAAGAGGTGTATGATGATATTCATCAAAGCATTTGATATGGAAGCTTGGATGATAATCAAGAAAGGATATTCCTCTCCTACTAAGAAGGCAAAGAAGTGGAGTATTCAAGAACGGAATGAAGCTCAACAAAACTCAAAGGCTATGCACATATTGTGTTGTGCAATTGATCCTAATGTATATAAAGGAGTTTCTTCTTGTTCAATTGCCAAGAAAATGTGGGATAAGCTTGAGGAGATCTATAGAGACAAGGAAGAAGAAGAACCAATAAAAGTGATGTCTCTATTAGCTCTCACAGAGCCAAAGGTATCTTCTAACTCAAATATATCAAATTCAAAATCTTTTAATGAGTTACAAGATGCTTATGATAAATTATTTTCGGAGTTTGAGACCATGAACTCCAAATACAATAAATTGATTTCTAAATTAATTGCTAAAAATGATCTTCTTTTGAAAGCTAAAACAGACTTGGAAAATCAAAATGAAATGTTGAGAAAGGAGTTAGAGTTTTCAAAAATAAAATCTGAAAACTTTGAAAAAGAAATTTTCAAATTAAACAAACTTCTTCTAGAAATGAAAATGGATTTTGAAAATCAAAATGAAATCTTGAAGAATGATTTAGAACTCTCAAAAATGAAATTTGAAAGTATTGAAAAAGAAAATTTCAATTTAAAAGATAAGCTTGAATGTTCAACAAAAGAAAAAGAGATCATTCTAAATAATTCATCTAGTTCAATAATGACAATATGTTCACATTGTCATTATCATGGTCATAAGGAACATACTTGTTCTTTAAAGAAAGGAAAACGATTTAAAATTAGACAAGTATGGATTCCAAAAGGAACAAGAGGCATTGAAACTAATGTTCAAGGATCCAAAGCAATTTGGATACCAAAATTTACTTAAATGTCTCTTGTAGGTGTGTGGGAGCAATGGTGATGAAGTTGATGATATTCAAGATGCTCTAGCCACACATGAAAAAGTAATGGGTAACCTCTAAACTTAATTTTTTTATTTTTGGTTGCTCATTTATTCTATGCATGCATGCCGTTTTAAATGTTAAATAATTCTAAATGATTATATTTTGTCTCATGTATGTTGAAAAATATTGTATGATGAACATGGTAATTTTTGGTAATTTTTTTTAAAACTCTAGTTCATCATATTAATTTTTGGTCAAAATTGTTTTTAAAATGTAATTGATATTAATTTTTCAAGAACTTTGGTTTTGCAAAATTTTGATCTGAAATTTTTAATGTTTATGCATAAATTTTTGTTTAAATATTATAAAGTTTTAATGCATAACATTTTCAAAAACTTTATGCATGTGCTCTTACTCTCTATAATCAACATTGCATAATGTTTTATATGTGAATGGGTTAAAAGCATAATCTTTTGGAAAAAAAAACATATACTACTTTGTAATCACCTTAACTTAATAAAAAAAGTATGTTGACTTCCAAACTGATATCCTTAACCGATCATCCCAAGCAATTGAAGGCCATGCTATTGTCACGAGGATTTACGGAATTCTCGATAGAGATTGGAAAACGAGAGCATTATATACTCGTCGAGAGGCTAATATGATTGCGGATAAGCCTGCTTCATTAGCTAGAGATCAACCCCTGGGAGTGGTGATGCATAGTGAACTTCCAGTTGAAATGGTTGCCTTAGTTGATAGGGAACTAGATCCCACAATCTAAGCTTATTCTTTCAGTACTACCAAAAAAAAAATTAAAGGTTGAAGCATTTCAAACTATTTGAGCGAATGGACAGAAGAAAAGGATATTCTCCGGTGTTTCCTCACATCCCCGCATTGAACACCTTTTAAGTATTTTTTATGATTTGAGCAAAATCAAATCATTAGTACTGAATAATAATAAAAAAATAAAAAATAAATAATTAACCGTGTAGTAGTATGAAACTCATGCCTTAGAAACAATTTCATCTCAATATGTGTAATCACTGCGTTAAACGTTCGTCCCTCGAGAAATAATCGTACACCAGAAGATTAAAGTAGAACGGTGAAATTGCTCTTTTGACCGGAAGAAAGATCGAGAACTTTGTAATTGTTAGGACAACTTTTACATTAGCAAGTCAAACGGCTGAAACCAAGCCTCGTTAATTCAGTTGATATAACTGACAATTAAGATGTTATCTGTTGTAATGAATATTCGAACACAGTCTCAAAATCATCTAGATTTAAGCTGTAAGAAGTCAGTTTCCAAAATTAACAATTGTCATAATTGTAATAATACAACAGGTTAAATTTGAATTTTCACAACACCAACAATTACATACATAATTCCAACAATTAATCTGATCAATCAATAATTATCTTGCTTAAAAATATTTTAAAAATTCTCATTTTAATTTTACAAAAATAATTTTTAAAAAATTCTTCTGTATTTTTTTTAAAATGATAGAACACATGCAATCGTGTTGAAAACACATATAACTATGACGGCAACGGGATGGATAGATGGCAACAATGCGTGCGTGCAAAGTTGTTTTACAACATTCACCAAGGAAGAGAAAGACCAACTCTTTACATACCTTTCTAAAGGCATTTTCCTTTTCTATGTGGGATAGGTGCCCTTACACTTTTTGAGCAAGACCAATACGAAAGTAACTACGAGAGTGACGAAGGACATGCTTTGGGATTGTTTTGCACATTCTACTGCTTTGGAATAATCTATTTACCTCCCTCCTTTATATTCGAAGTTTTTAATATATTAATTTTGATAATAAAAAAACTATGTTCAAATATTCAGATCTATTGTATGTTTTAAATTTAATTTTTAGATATATTAAATCTAAATATTGAATGATTCCTAAAATAGTATCTACATTAAAAATAATGTTTGAATATTAAATCAAATTTAGTATAAGATATAAAATGAAATCAAAATTTAAGACAACCATTTACATATGAATTTAGATATTATAAAATTATGAATATTTATAAAATTTTTAAAAATAACTTGTGGGTAAACTACACATTTAATCACTAAACTATGTGTTGATTTTCTTTTTATCAGCTAACTATAGAAAGTATTAATAGTTACTAAAGTTATTGAAAAATTACAAAATAGTTACACATAAATAATGATGTAACACACTACCTCATGATTTAATGTTTCAAAATAATTAAAATTGAACAAAAGTATGATTAAAATTGAATAAAACATAGTATAAATATTAAAGTACACTAACTACACAAAATATAGGAACTAGTAAAGTGGTTTCACCAAAAAGACAAAATTAAATACCGGGCGTAGATTTTCGCGCCAAAACTCCGATTCGTAACTCTTCCATTTTGCTTCTCACTCGTCCATCAAATTTCTCCAGTTATTAGGGTTTCAATCATTTCTTTGTTTTTTTTTTCTTCTTGTTTTGAAAATGACTGCGTTGCCGCCGTCGCTCTCTCCTCCTCGTTCTCAGACCACTTGCGCTTCTCTCCATCAAGAATTACAGGTTTTGCTCTCCATCTCTTTCCTTTTTTCTTGGAACTCATTATAATTTTGTTTTTGAATTTTCTTGACTAAGAAATAAATTCAAATCAAATGTTGTTTTTCTATGTTAGATAATATGGGATGAAATAGGGGAAAGTGATGTAGAAAGGGATAAGATGCTATTGGAATTAGAGCAAGAATGTTTGGACATTTATAGAAGAAAGGTGGAAAGGACTAGAAAGAGCAAGGCTGATTTGCATCACTCTTTGGCTCAATTTGAATCTGAAATCGCCAACATTGTCACTGCCCTCGAAGAGCATTCCTTCTCCTTCTCAAGGGTTTGTTCCTTTTCTTTTCTTTCCAACTTTGTTATTGTTGTGGAATTGTAATTATATTTGTTTTGCAGTAAACCACTTTCTCAGTTTAGGTATTATTAAGAAAAAAATGTAGACTTGCATAAAAGATAGATGATTTAATGTTATTACTAGGGCTGAGTATTTAATTGAGTCAAGCAAAGTAAAAAAATTTTGAATTAGTTGAGTTGACGAGTTCTATTTTATAATTCAAATTTTATTTTAATTTTTTTTTTGAGTTGAGTTGTTAGAGTTTCTGTTTAAATTTAATTGTAAATATTTGTAATGTTATGGTACTATTTGATTCTAATTTGAACAATTTTCTATATCCATATATGATAAACATATATATTTTTTATATGTGATATACATATATTATGAAGAGTTAAGGGACATGATTCAAACTTGAAAATCAATCCACTAATTACTAAAAAATTTGAGTTATTTGAGTTTTATTTTATAACTCGAATCGAGTCCAGTTTATGAAATTACGAGTCAAGTCCAGCTTGTTAATATCTAATCGAGTCAAAAAATTGATTTTTTTCGAGTTGAGTCGAATTTTACTCACCCGTCTTTTATTTTACGTCTTTGGCTATCTTCATTTTGTGATTAAATATCATGTTTGATATTTATAGTAATTGACCACAGTAGCATTTATTATGTTGCACAACCGCCATAAACATGATGAAAATGTGGCTATGAGAGACTGAGACTCCTATGACAATTTGAATCCCTTTATTTTAGGCGCTAAAGCTTGCATTTTCTGAGGTTATGTTTGGTTGCAGCTTTGGTTACAGAAGTTAATGATATTTATCATTTTATAACATTATAGTAAATTTTTTGTAGTATAAATGCATAATTTATGTTGCACAACAGCCATAAACATGATGAAAATGTGGCTATGAGAGACTGAGACTCCTATGACAATTTGAATCCCTTTATTTTTGGCGCTAAAGCTTGCATTTTCTAAGGTTATGTTTGGTTGCAGCTTTGGTTACAGAAGTTAATGATATTTATCATTTTATAACATTATAGTAAATTTTTGTAGTAAATGCATAATTTGACTTTTATATGAACTAGTTATGTTAAGATTGGTGGTACTTTTTTCTTACGTTTTAATTACTTTTTATTTAATATATAAATTTTCTTTTTCACTGGCCTTTAAGACGGAAAAAACAAATAGTTAATGAAAGTACCTAAAGCAGCCGCCATTTATTTTGTTTGTTGCTACTACTTTTCCTATAGTAGAAAATGTTGCTTGTTCAGATGTGGAACAAATATAATTTCAAAGTTGACCTTTTATGTGTATAATTATGTTTGACATGGATGGAAACTACAAATGATCTTTGCTTTTAAGAGCATCTGATGAGCACAATAGTATAATATGGTCTGCATAACCAGCCTTATATTATGTGTAAAATTAATTTTAAGAAAATATACATTAGTTGGGGTTTATCTGCTTTATAGCTGTTTTGCCCTTCATATTGTCTGTTGATGTGGCTTATCTCTCCAATTTGAGAAGGGAAAGGGCACTCTCAAGCAGCAATATCTTATATAAGACCTGTTTTGGAAGAGCTGAGATCGAAGAAGCAAAGAATGAAGGAATTTACTGAAACCCAAGCACAGATTGCACAGATCTGTGCAGAAGTAGCAGGCAATGGTCAGTCTATGTCGCCTTCTGATCCACAAGTAGATGAGCATGATTTGACAGTCAAGAAACTTGGGGAGATTAAGTCTCATCAACAGGAACTTCAGAATTAAAAGGTTTGTTGATATCTACTGTCTGGATTAATAGCGTTTTGACTTGTCTATTGTACTGAATTTTATTCCTTTTACTGTATCTCTAGATTATCCGGCTACTGAAATTTCATAATCACATTAGTATGATTCATAAGCTGTCAGTGGTGATGTCCTTTGATTTCTTCAATACAGTTAGTGGCATTCATACGAGCCTGATTGATCCTGCAAATGGTCAATCAAAGAGCATCAGCAATGAAACTCTTGCTAAATTGACAGGTGTTGTTAATTCACTGCAGCAAGAGGCAAAAAAGTTTACGTGTTCATATGTTCCGGAGTTTTGAGATGGAAACATAATGAAATGTTGCAAATGGTTTTGAAGTATCACAAATTTATTTGCTTCCTGCTCTTTGCTAAATCTTAAGTCTTCTCCATTATAACTAGTTTAATCCTAACTTTACGTGTTCTATTAATTTAATCCTAACTTTGGATAAATTTAATCCTAATAAATTCAATTAAAAGATCGATTGTCAAAATGAAAAAAATAATAGTTAAGTGATTATAGGTATAATTATCCATTATTGTCTATATTTTTTAATATTTTCCTCGAACTCAATGAAGTGTGAGTTGTTCGAGTAAATACATGTGCCGGCCGTACAAATCCTTTCCAACGTAGGTTCTTCGTTTGGCCACCGCTTTCAACTTCGATCCACTCCCTTCAAAATATTTAGATAACAAATAGGGAAGATCATCTCCCTTCAGGTAAGGTCAATTACCTACTCTTTTATTTATTTGTATTAATCCCTTGAATTCTCTTTTGTCAAAACCTTTTATTGGATCATTTTTAATAATTTAATTTAATCTCTGGCTGATGATCTTTTTATTCTTTCAAATTTTCTTTTGGTTGATCTCTATTCAGTTTTGTATTCTTTTGGGTTTCGTTTTTTAGTTTGTTAAACATTGCCATAAGGCGAAAGAAAATGATGCAAACTAAAATAATAATCAAGGAATAATGAATAAATCAATACATAAACCAAACCCAAGGTCAGATTTGAAGTAATTAATGTGTGTATATGTATTAACTGTAATATTTTATTAATGTTCATGGATTTGTGCGACTAAATTTCGTTTTGATCTCTTTTGCATGTTAAATTCAGTAGTACTTGTTCATGCTATTCTTGTTAGGAACGGGATCATTTTCTCATCACTGCTTTTTTTTTTCTCTTTAATTCCTTGTTATTGTCATGTTTGGGTCTTATTTAGCTTCTGTTTGTTGATTTTGCAGCTTTACCGTTCTTTTTGAAGCTCCTTTATACTGTTTATGATCATGCAGTTGAACCCTTTGTTCTTGAATCATAACTGGAATATGTAACTATAACTATGCACGTTTTGATTTGTAATGTTTGATTATGTTTTGTCTCCTGGCCACTGGTCGGTCATCCCTTGTTTCAGAACCTTTTTAATCTATAAATTTGAACATAGTTTTGGTGTGTTGTTACTGGTGCTGCAATTAGAGTCGTAGACATAAAGAGCAGAGATTTCATGTCTAAATTGTGGTTTGTAATTTGTTTGGCTAAATTGGTTTTTAGTTTCTATTAAAGAACATGCTGAATCATTTCCTGCAGTAGGTTAAGCAGTGGTTTTTGGGGTGTTTTAGCTCTTCTGACTATTAATTCATTGGTGTTGGTTTGTCTCCAGGCTGCCATTCCCGTTCTGGAATTTTGTTCAATCAATAACTTTGAGCATATTTTTGTGGAATTCAGTTTGGTTTGTTGTTATGGGTTCTGCAACTAATGTTGTTGACAATAAAGAGGCAAGGTTGCCTCAAGAAGTAAAGAATGCTCTTCAGTTAATGGCATCAGAGTGGGATGATGTAGTGGACTCGAAAGCTTTGCAGGTGATCCCTGTTAAAGGTGCAATGACCAATGAGGTCTTCCAGATAAAATGGCCTACCAGGACGGATGATGTGTCACGGAAGGTTTTAGTTAGGATTACGGTGAGGGTGTGGAGGTTTTCTTTGACCGGGATGATGAGATCGGACGTTTGAATTTATGTCGAAGCATGGACAAGGACCTCGTTTGCTTGGACGGTTCCGCAATGGGAGAATTGAAGAGTTCATCCATGCACGGGTACTTTGATATTGCCTCCCCTCCCAGCCTTTTTCACATATTGTAACTTTAGAGTTTAGATATTAACATGAAGCTATTTTAAATTAAGGGATTTGCTCTTCAAGCTGCTAATTTAAAAGATTTTGACATTAATCTGATTTACCTAATGATTTATTACCTGTCTATCCAATTTGGGAATTACATCCAAAATAAATGCTACTGTTGTGATTAAGAGAAGTTGTTCTTTTGAATAACTTTCAGCCATCTATATTTCGCTACTGCCTTAAATTTTCATGTTTGATATGGTTTCTTATTTATTAATAACATCAAGATTTTCTCATTCGATATATTTTTTCCCATTAACAGTTGTAGTTATCAAATGTGTATTGATATTCTTTCTTCCTTATTGACTTTCAGACATTATCAGCATCTGATTTGCGTGATCCAGCTATATCAGCTCTAATAGCAACTAAATTGAGGGAGTTCCATGAACTTGATTTTCCTGGTACCAAGAAAGTTTGGCTATGGGATAGATTGCGGTACATTTGAATATTTCTCGGTGAATTCTGCTAAATATTATGGATCTCATATCTATTTGCTACATTTATTAATTTAAAGTTTTTGCCATTGGTTATGTTACAGAAATTGGCTTAGGGAAGCCAAGAGAGTTTGCCCTCTAGAAGAAGCCAAAGCCTTTCACTTGGAAGTTTATGAGGAGGAAATCTCTATTTTAGCAAAGAAACTATCAGGGAGCCATCAACACATTGGCTACTGCCACAATGATTTACAATATGGGAACATAATGTTTAATGAAGAGACTAAATCAGTAACCATCATTGTAAGTTTCTATCAACTGGCTTGCTTTTTATATAATTTTCTAATAGTAATTGTAATATGAACCTCTTTATATTTTCATTAAACTACATGGTAGCAATTGCTACTTTGTGGGAAGTTTTATATAAGGTTGAGTAGTGGATTGGGCTATTAGTTGCATTCTTTTGATGGGAGGGTAGCAATATCAAATCTTTGAATAAGATGAATTTTGTATTTTTTCGATCAACATCAAACAATTAGCAAAGGCTACTGGTAGTGCTAGCAGTAATAAAATCATAAGTTGCTCATATGGTTCCATTATTGATGTTCTCTCGAAGAGAGTATATCTAATCTTGAATTTTGTCCTTGCATGTATAGGATTGCTTCGGCTTAAGTTGAGTAGATTGGTGATTTATCTTGGTCCTTATTTATCATATTAGCAAAACCACTCTATTTGCATGAATTTGTCTTGTAATGCACAATACCTTTGCCCACCAAGAGTGCCTCGTAGCATCCTTTTTAAAAATGAGTTATGTTGAACTTTAGGATTTGTACTTGCTTAATATTTGGTCATAAATTATGCTAAGCAGCTCTTGCCTGATCATGAATTTTGTTGACTAAATGCTAATTTCTACATGAAAGAGTAAGCAGTGCTTGCATGTAACTTATCTAGCAAAGAGATATCTAAGTAATCAGAGGTATGGGAGTAAATGAACAGAGCGTTCGGTGAATTGTTCGTGAAACATTCGTATAACGTTCATTTATGTTCGTTTGTTAAGCTAAATAAATGAGTATGAACATAATTTTATTTTCATTTAATAAACAAACGAACATGAACATAAGTGTGTTCGGTTCATTATGTTTATGAACAAGCTTGCTTATAAGCTCATTTGTTGACTCGTTCATTTATGTTCATGAACAAGCTCGCTTAATGACTCTTTTAGAATCTCGTTTACATGTTTCTCATTTTTTTACATTTTAAATATTGGTGGAGGTTGGGATTAAATTGAACACATGATGAAATTTACAGTTTAAACTTTGAACCTTATGGAACTTAGCACTAGTGGCGTAATTTTACTATTTTTCTTTAACTTGCAAATCAAAAGGTAAAAAGCTAAAAATTGAACATATAAACGAACACTAAACAAACATGTTCACGAACGTTAAACGAACATGTTCGCGAAAAATAAGTAATCGAATACGAATAGCTTCAAAAATAAATAAATGAACACGAATATGCTATTAAAAATTTTAAACGAATATGAACAAAACATGAACACCTTCAAAAATAAACAAACGAACACGAACGTTACCTTGTTTGTTCAAGCTCAGTTCATTTACACCCCTAATCAGAGGAAGATAGAAATTTCATACTCGTAAATTTGCAGCTCATCAATCGACGATTCTATTTTCTCCAAGGCAGTTTTCTATAGAAATACTAAATACATAATTCTATGGTGGTTGATTATCTGCCTTCTTATACAGGATTACGAGTATGCAACATACAATCCTGTTGCCTTTGATATTGCAAACCACTTCTGCGAGATGGCTGCTGACTATCACACAGAAACACCCCATGTTATGGATTATACTAAATATCCAGGTGAGCCTTTTGGATCTCATTTTTCCGTCTAAAAGATGCATTATATTCCCTGAATGGTAAAATATTTTATTGTCCTGTGGCATGCATAGGTGTGGAAGAGCGCTTAAGGTTTTTGCGTGCATACCTGCACTCTTCAGGTAACTGTTTATTGCTTGTATGACATTATTCGACTTTTCAATGGTTCACAGGGTGGTTGCAATTGTTTAAAGTTCATTTTCTAATTATTCCAATTTTGATTCTTCTGCAAGTATGAATGGTATAGCTGCATTCGTGTCTAACCGTATATAGTTTTATTCTGCTGGCAATTTAGCTTATATCTAGTGAAGTGGTATGTTTCTTTCCTCTTTTACACAAAGGACTGATTCAACACATGTGAGCAGTCGAGAGAATGGAAAAAGGAAGAAACCAAGAGAAGAAAAAGAAATTTCCTGATTGAAATTCTCATTGAAAAACAGAAAACACCACCTGTTTTATAGGTTGTGATTACAAGTTGGAGTCCTACTAGGTTCCTCGTCTTCCTAACTTTTATATCTTATCTCCTAAGAAACTGAATCCTAATAGTATAATATACATTAAACTTCTAAGTGAAATTAAACTTATAAACTTCCAAGTGAAATTAAACTCCTAATTGTTGGCAGCTTTCTACAACAATTTTTTTTTAAAAAGTCGAAGCAATTGTAGAACCAATTTAGTGTCTTTCAGTTTGTATATCTGAATTTGATCTGCCAATGTAACTCTGAATTCGATATATTGTCAGGATCCCATGATATTATCCTTGTTT